CCACATACAACACACGCCACATGCAACACACCCCAGATGCAACACATCCCACATGCAACACACCCCACATGCAACACACCCCACATGCAACACACCCCACATGCAACACATCCCACATACAACACATCCCACAGGCTACACATCCCACATGCAACACATCCCACATCAATACATCCCACATGAAACACAACCCACATGCAACACACCCCACATGCAGCACACCCCACATGCAACACATCCCACATGCAACACACCAAAACATGCAGCACACCCCACATGCAGCACACCCCACATGCAACACACCCCACATGCAACACACCCCACATGCAACACACCCCACATGCAACACACCCCAGATGCAACACATCCCACACGCAACACATCCCACAGGCTACACATCCCACATGCAACACATCCCACATGCAATACACCCCACATGCAACACACCCCACATGCAACACACCCCACATGCAACACACCCCACATGCAACACACCCCACATACAACACACCCCACATGCAACAGACCCCACAAGCAACAGACCCCACATGCAACACACCCCACATGCAACACACCCCACATGCAACACACCCCACATGCAACACACCCCCCATGCAACACACCCCACATGCAACACACCCCACATGCAACACACCCCACATGCAACACATCCCACATGCAACACACCCCACATGCAGCACACCCCACATGCAGCACACCCCACATGCAGCACACCCCACATGCAACACACCCCACATACAACACACCCCACATGCAACAGACCCCACAAGCCACAGACCCCACAAGCAACACACCCCACATGCAACACACCCTACATGCAAAACACCCCACATGCAACAGACCCCACATACAACAGACCCCACATACAACAGACCCCACATGCAGCACACCCCACATGCAACACACCCCACATGCAACACACCCGACATGCAACACACCCTACATGCAGCACACCCCACATGCAACACATCCCACATGCAACACACCATAACATGCAGCACACCCCACATGCAACACACCCCACATGCAACACACCCCACATACAACACATCCCACATACAACACACCCCACATGCAACACACCCCACATGCAACACACCCCACAAGCAACAGACCCCACATGCAACACACCCCACATGCAACACATCCCACATACAACACACCCCACATGCAACACACCCCACATGCAACACACCCCACATGCAACACATCCCACATACAACACACCCCACATGCAACACACCCTACATGCAACACACCCCACATGCAACACACCCCACATGCAACACACCCCACATGCAACACACCCCACATGCAACACACCCCACATGCAACACACCCCACATGCAACACACCCCACATGCAACACACCCCACATGCAACACACCCCACATGCAACACACCCCACATACAACACACCCCACATGCAACAGACCCCACATGCAACACACCCCACATGCAACACACCCCACATGCAACAGACCCCACATGCAACACACCCCACATACAACACACGCCACATGCAACACACCCCAGATGCAACACATCCCACATGCAACACACCCCACATGCAACACACCCCACATGCAACACACCCCACATGCAACACATCCCACATACAACACATCCCACAGGCTACACATCCCACATGCAACACATCCCACATCAATACATCCCACATGAAACACAACCCACATGCAACACACCCCACATGCAGCACACCCCACATGCAACACATCCCACATGCAACACACCAAAACATGCAGCACACCCCACATGCAGCACACCCCACATGCAACACACCCCACATGCAACACACCCCACATGCAACACACCCCACATGCAGCACACCCCACATGCAACACACCCCACATGCAGCACACCCCACATGCAGCACACCCCACATGCAAAACATCCCACATGCAACACACCAAAACATGCAGCACACCCCACATGCAGCACACCCCACATGCAACACACCCCACATACAACACACCCCACATGCAACAGACCCCACAAGCAACAGACCCCACATGCAACACACCCCACATGCAACACACCCCACATGCAACACACCCCACATGCAACACACCCCCCATGCAACACACCCCACATGCAACACACCCCACATGCAACACACCCCACATGCAACACATCCCACATGCAACACACCCCACATGCAGCACACCCCACATGCAACACACCCCACATGCAACACACCCCACATGCAACACACCCCACATGCAACACACCCCACATGCAACACACCCCACATGCAGCACACCCCACATGCAACACACCCCACATGCAGCACACCCCACATGCAGCACACCCCACATGCAACACATCCCACATGCAACACACCAAAACATGCAGCACACCCCACATGCAGCACACCCCACATGCAACACACCCCACATACAACACACCCCACATGCAACAGACCCCACAAGCAACAGACCCCACATGCAACACACCCCACATGCAACACACCCCACATGCAACACACCCCACATGCAACACACCCCCCATGCAACACACCCCACATGCAACACACCCCACATGCAACACACCCCACATGCAACACATCCCACATGCAACACACCCCACATGCAGCACACCCCACATGCAGCACACCCCACATGCAGCACACCCCACATGCAACACACCCCACATACAACACACCCCACATGCAACAGACCCCACAAGCCACAGACCCCACAAGCAACACACCCCACATGCAACACACCCCACATGCAACACACCCTACATGCAACACACCCCACATGCAACAGACCCCACATACAACAGACCCCACATACAACAGACCCCACATGCAGCACACCCCACATGCAACACACCCCACATGCAACACACCCCACATGCAACACACCCTACATGCAGCACACCCCACATGCAACACATCCCACATGCAACACACCACAACATGCAGCACACCCCACATGCAACACACCCCACATGCAACACACCCCACATACAACACACCCCACATGCAACACACCCCACATGCAACACACCCCACATGCAACACACCCTACATGCAGCACACCCCACATGCAACACATCCCACATGCAACACACCAAAACATGCAGCACACCCCACATGCAACACACCCCACATACAACACACCCCACATGCAACAGACCCCACAAGCAACAGACCCCACATGCAACACACCCCACATACAACACACCCCACATGCAACACACCCCACATGCAACACACCCCACATGCAACACACCCCACATGCAACACACCCCACATGCAACACATCCCACATACAACACACACCACATGCAACACACCCTACATGCAACACACCCCACATGCAACACACCCCACATGCAACAGACCCCACATACAACAGACCCCACATGCAACACACCCCACATGCAACACACCCCACATGCAACACACCCCACATGCAACACACCCCACATGCAACACACCACACATGCAACACACCCCACATGCAACACACCCCACATGCAACAGACCCCACATGCAACACACCCCACATGCAGCACACCCTACATGCAACACACCCCACATGCAGCGCACCCCACATGCAGCACACCCCACATGCAGCACACCCCACATGCAACACATCCCACATGCAACACACCAAAACATGCAGCACACCCCACATGCAGCACACCCCACATGCAACACACCCCACATGCAACACACCCCACATGCAACACACCCCACATGCAACACACCCCAGATGCAACACATCCCACACGCAACACATCCCACAGGCTACACATCCCACATGCAACACATCCCACATGCAATACACCCCACATGCAACACACCCCACATGCAACACACCCCACATGCAACACACCCCACATGCAACACACCCCACATACAACACACCCCACATGCAACAGACCCCACAAGCAACACACCCCACATGCAACACACCCCACATGCAACACACCCCACATGCAACACACCCCACATGCAACACACCCCCCATGCAACACACCCCACATGCAACACACCCCACATGCAACACACCCCACATGCAACACATCCCACATGCAACACACCCCACATGCAGCACACCCCACATGCAGCACACCCCACATGCAGCACACCCCACATGCAACACACCCCACATACAACACACCCCACATGCAACAGACCCCACAAGCCACAGACCCCACAAGCAACACACCCCACATGCAACACACCCCACATGCAACACACCCTACATGCAAAACACCCCACATGCAACAGACCCCACATACAACAGACCCCACATACAACAGACCCCACATGCAGCACACCCCACATGCAACACACCCCACATGCAACACACCCCACATGCAACACACCCTACATGCAGCACACCCCACATGCAACACATCCCACATGCAACACACCAAAACATGCAGCACACCCCACATGCAACACACCCCACATACAACACATCCCACATACAACACACCCCACATGCAACACACCCCACATGCAACACACCCCAGAAGCAACACACCCCACATGCAACACACCCCACATGCAACACATCCCACATACAACACACCCCACATGCAACACACCCCACATGCAACACACCCCACATGCAACACACCCCACATGCAACACACCCCACATGCAACACACCCTACATGCAACACACCCCACATGCAACAGACCCCACATACAACAGACCCCACATGCAACAGACCCCACATGCAACACACCCCACATGCAACACACCCCACATGCAACACACCCCACATGCAACACACCCCACATGCAACACACCCCACATGCAACACACCCCACATGCAACACACCCCACATGCAACACACCCCACATGCAACACACCCCACATGCAACACACCCCACATACAACACACCCCACATGCAACAGACCCCACATGCAACACACCCCGCATGCAACACACCCCACATGCAACAGACCCCACATGCAACACACCCCACATACAACACACGCCACATGCAACACACCCCAGATGCAACACATCCCACATGCAACACACCCCACATGCAACACACCCCACATGCAACACACCCCACATGCAACACATCCCACATACAACACATCCCACAGGCTACACATCCCACATGCAACACATCCCACATCAATACATCCCACATGAAACACAACCCACATGCAACACACCCCACATGCAGCACACCCCACATGCAACACATCCCACATGCAACACACCAAAACATGCAGCACACCCCACATGCAGCACACCCCACATGCAACACACCCCACATGCAACACACCCCACATACAAGACACCCCACATGCAACACACCCTACATGCAACACACCCCACATGCAACACACCCCACATGCAACACACCCCACATGCAACACACCCCACATGCAACACACCCCACATGCAACACACCCCACATGCAACACACCCCACATGCAGCACACCCCACATGCAGCACACCCCACATGCAGCACACCCCACATGCAACACACCCCACATGCAACAGACCCCACAAGCCACAGACCCCACAAGCAACACACCCCACATGCAACACACCCCACATGCAACACACCCTACATGCAAAACACCCCACATGCAACAGACCCCACATACAACAGACCCCACATACAACAGACCCCACATGCAGCACACCCCACATGCAACACACCCCACATGCAACACACCCCACATGCAACACACCCTACATGCAGCACACCCCACATGCAACACATCCCACATGCAACACACCACAACATGCAGCACACCCCACATGCAACACACCCCACATGCAACACACCCCACATACAACACACCCCACATGCAACAGACCCCACAAGCAACAGACCCCACATGCAACACACCCCACATACAACACATCCCACATACAACACACCCCACATGCAACACACCCCACATGCAACACACCCCACATGCAACACACCCCACATGCAACACACCCCACATGCAACACATCCCACATACAACACACACCACATGCAACACACCCTACATGCAACACACCCCACATGCAACACACCCCACATGCAACACACCCCACATGCAACACACCCCACATGCAACACACCCCACATGCAACACACCCCACATGCCACACACCCCACACGCAACACACCCCACATGCAACACACCCCACATACAACACACCCCACATGCAACAGACCCCACAAGCAACAGACCCCACATGCAACACACCCCACATGCAACACATCCCACATACAACACACCCCACATGCAACACACCCCACATGCAACACACCCCACATGCAACACACCCCACATGCAACACACCCCACATGCAACACATCCCACATACAACACACCCCACATACAACACACCCTACATGCAACACACCCCACATGCAACAGACCCCACATGCAACAGACCCCACATACAACAGACCCCACATGCAACAGACCCCACATGCAACACACCCCACATGCAACACACCCCACATGCAACACACCCCACATGCAACACACCCCACATGCAACACACCCCACATGCAACACACCCCACATGCAGCACACCCCACATGCAGCACACCCCACATGCAGCACACCCCACATGCAGCACACCCCACATGCAACACACCCCACATACAACACACCCCACATGCAACAGACCCCACAAGCCACAGACCCCACAAGCAACACACCCCACATGCAACACACCCCACATGCAACACACCCTACATGCAAAACACCCCACATGCAACAGACCCCACATACAACAGACCCCACATACAACAGACCCCACATGCAGCACACCCCACATGCAACACACCCCACATGCAACACACCCCACATGCAACACACCCTACATGCAGCACACCCCACATGCAACACATCCCACATGCAACACACCAAAACATGCAGCACACCCCACATGCAACACACCCCACATGCAACACACCCCACATACAACACACCCCACATGCAACAGACCCCACAAGCAACACACCCCACATGCAACAGACCCCACATGCAACACACCCCACATGCAACACACCCCACATGCAACACACCCCACATGCAACACACCCCACATACAACACACGCCACATGCAACACACCCCAGATGCAACACACCCCACATGCAACACACCCCACATGCAACACACCCCACATGCAACACACCACACATGCAACACACCCCACATACAACACACCCCACATGCAACACACCCCACATGCAACACACCCCACATGCAACACACCCCACATGCAACACACCCCGCATGCAACACATCCCACAAGCAACACACCCCACATGCAACACACCCCACATGCTGAAGGAACTAGCTTGGAAGAGAAAAGATTGAATTGAGTAGGGAGCCAAGAGGCTCTTTTTGTACAAAACAAGGAGCAAGGAAGAGTTGGAAGGGAAGCTCTCCTATTGGCCATAAAGTGGACCAATGGGGGAGGTTGCTTGTAGGGCAAGCAACCACAAAAGTGTGGTGCTCTCCTATTGGTCACAATGTGGACCAATGAGAGAGATTGCTTGGAAGGCAAGCAACCACAAAGTGTGGTGCTTGGTGATTGGTTGGTTCCTAGGACTAAAGACCATTTGGTTGGAATAGTGCCAACCAAATGTCTAGGACCAAATCCAATCTTGACCAACCCAAATGTGGGGTTGGTCAACCCAACCAACAACCCCCCAATAATTATAATGACTACACCTCCTAATCTAGGCATGCATGTTGTATAGATATATATTTTACAACACAACCCCCCAACATGCATAAGACTAGAGGGCTTGAAGCAGGAGGCGGACGAGGGAACGGGGGGAGCGAGGCCAAGAAGGCGAAGGAGGGATGAGTGGGCGGCGTGGGGGAGGGCTTTGGTGAAGATGTCGGCAAGATTGGCAGCAGAGTCAATCTTGCCCAGCTGGAGGTGGCCACCCTGCACAAGCTCGCGAATGAAGTAGTGGCGAAGCTCAATGTGCTTGGAGCGCCCGTGGAACACAGCATCCTTCGTGAGGTGGATGGTGCTGGCGTTGTCGCACCAGATGGTGGGACAGCGCTGAGGGGCACCAAGCTCCTCAAGAAGGAAGGAGAGCCAGCGGGCCTCCTGCGCAGCCATGGTAGCGGCATACAGCTCTGCTTCGCAGGAGGAGAGGGCAATGGAGGAGGAGCGGGTGGAGCGCCAGCTGATGAGGCCGCTGCCAAGAGAGAAGCCATAGCCCTGAGAGGAGCGGCGGTCAGGCCTAGAGTCAGCCCAGGAGGAATCAGAGTAGCCAGTGAGGAGGGGAGGGGCCGCCAAGGGTAAGGACGTAGTCCTTGGTCCCCCGAAGGTAGCGGAGGACACGCTTGGCCGCTTGCCAGTGGGCGGCATCATGCTTGCCTGTACCAACGAAGCGGGCCAAAACGCTGATGGGGTATGCTAGGTCAGGGCGGGTGGAGACCATGGCATACATGAGAGAGCCGATGAGCTCAGCGTAGGGGTGGGAGGAGGAGGAGGGGGAGGTGAGGGGAGTGAGATGGTGCCCAACAGGAAGAGGGGTGACCTGAGGGGTGCCTCGAGCCATGTCGAACCGCTCCAGGACCTGCTGCAGGTAGTGGCCCTGGGAGAGGGAGATGGTGCGAGCAGCACGGTCGCGGGTAATCTCCATGCCAAATAGTGCTGCAGCCCCCCTAGATCCTTACACTTGAGCCGGCTACCAAGCTCACGCTTGACGCGCTCGAGCTCGGCGGAGTCGGCAGTGATGAGGATCATATCGTCGACATAGACGAGGATGTAGAAGGGGGAGGGGGAGGTGCGGAGGAAGAGGCTGGGGTCGGCACGGGAGGTGCTGAAGCCAAGCTCGGCGAGGGTGGCAGCAAGCTTGGCATGCCACTCCCTTGGTGCCTGCTTGAGCCCATAGACCGGCCGACGCAGCTGCCAGACAGAGTCGGAAGGAAAGGGGAGGTGGAAGCCTGCAGGACGCTCCATGTAAATGAGCTCGCGCAAGACCCCCTGGAGGAAGGCGTTGGAGACGTCCATGGAGTGAATCTCCATGTTGAGGCGAGCAGCGAGGTCGAGGACTGCGCGAATGGTAGCGGGCTTGGCGGTGGGAGAGAAGGTGTCGAAGAAGTCGACAGCGTAGCGCTGGGTGAAGCCCTTGGCGACGTAGCGGGCCTTGTAGACTGGCGGCTCGCCAGGAAGCTGCTTCACCCGAAACACCCACTTCCCTTTGACCACGTTCGTGGTAGAGGGAGGGCGGGGCACATCCACAAAGGAGGAGTTGGCAATAAACGCCTCCAACTCCTTGAGGATGGCCGCGAGCCAGAGGTGAGCGTCAGGGCACGCCATGGCCTCCTTGTACGTGGCGGGGACGAAGATGATGGGGGCGGAGGAGAAGGCGAAGACTGGTGTGCCGCTGAGGTCAGGGGAGATGGGTAGGACGGCTGGATCATGCATGTGGAGGTTGAGGAACTCCTCATGGGAGTCCTCGAGGAGGGAGGAGTGGAAAATGAATGGGAGGACTGCTGCTGCTGCTGCTGCTGAGGATGCATCTGCTGCTGCTGCTGCTGAGGCGGCTGCCACTGCTGCGTCTGCTGCCGCCGCTGCTGCTGCTGCGGGTGAAGGCGAGGAAGAAGTGACGGCTGCTGCTGCTGGTGCTGCTGCGGTGGGTGGAACTGCTGCTGCAGCTGTTGCTGCTGCTGTTGGGACTGCTGTACTGGAGCTCGACGGCAGGGTTGGGCTAGTGTTTTGTTGTAAGACTGTCTGAAAAAGGAGGTCCATGAGAGGGGAGAGAGGAGGCAAGGTAGAGGAAGAGAGGATAACAGGAGGCGGGGCACCTAGGACTGCGTCACGCGACCTGGTGTGGGGATACCGGGTGAGGATGGAGCGGGTGCGACGCAGGGGGGAGGGGGTCGCGGGGGAGAGGGGGGAGGAGGGGAGGGGGGAGGATGGGAGGGAGCGGAGGGGGAGGAGTGGGACGGGGAGGCGGGGGGGAAAAAAAGGGTCAGGGTCAAATATGTCACCAGAGGAGGGGGGAGCACTAGGGGCCGAGGCGGCGGGGAATGGAGGAGGCGGAGCGGGGGGGAGGATGGGAGGGGGAGGGAGAAGAGGGGGTGGGATAGTGTCGGACCAGTTGAGGGGCCTGGGAGAAGGGGCGAGAGGGTCAGTGGGGGGAGGAGTGGAATAGTAGGGTGTGGACTCATCAAAGACTACATCCCGACTGCGGAGGAAACGACCTGAGGGGGGGTGAAGGAAGAGGTAGTCCGGTGAGGAGGGATTATGACCAAGGAAGATGCAGGGGAGGGTACGGGAGGCGAGCTTTCCCATGGTGCGGGGGCGGTCCGCAGGGTGAATGAGGACATACGCCCTGGAGCCCCACACACGGAGGGAGGAGACGTCAGGCTTGGCCGACGTCCAGAGCTCGGTGGGAGTGGTGGAGGGAAGGATAGGGTGGGGGTACAGGTTAGTAAGGAGGGTGGCGTGAAGGAGGGCATAGCCCCACAGAGAAGGGGGGCAAGAGGCATGGACGAGGAGACACCGAGCAATCTTGGTGATCTCCCGAACACGGCTCTCGGCCACACCGTTCTGCTGGGGGGAGTGGGGGAGGGTGTGAGTCTGCCGAATGCCATGAAGCTCACAGTAGGAGGCTACCTGACGATTAAGGAATTCGCCACCGCCATCAGAGTGAAGGCGGCGCACAGGGCGGCCAAAGTGGGTGCTCGCCTGCTTGAGCCAGGCGATGATCGCAGCCGAAGCATCACCCTTCGAGCGAAGAAGGGGGACGGACGAATATCGGCTGTGATCATCGACCAGAACAAGCATGTAGCGATGGCCCTGGCGGGAAGGGGAGGGGTTGGGGCCCCAGAGGTCCATGTGAACAAGATCAAGCGGCTGAGCAGCAGCGGAGGGGGAACTCCGATGCGGCAGCTGCTTGAGCTTGCTCTGGACACAGACGGAGCAGGGAGGGGCAAGGGAGGGAGGGAGGGGAGGGAGGGTGAGGGGAAGACCTCGAAGGAGACCTGAGGAGACGGTCGAGCGGAGGGTGGCAAAGTTGGGGTGACCAAGCCTGTGGTGGAGGAGGACGGTGGGATGGGAGAGGGATCGACAGGAGCAGGTTGGGTCAGGGGGGAGGGGGGGAATGGTTGGGTTAGAAGGAGGGAGAGGAGGGGGGGAGATGTGAGGTGGGAGGAGGGAGCGGGAGACTGCCTGGGCAGAGGGAAGACGAGGAACTCGAAGGGTATATAGGCGGGAGCGAGGACAAAAGGGAATACGGGAGAGGAGGCGACCTGTGGGATGGTATAGGAGGCACTGATTAGCGCGACCTGGGAAGACGGTGGTGATACCGGCCTGCTGCAGGGATCGCTGGGAGAGGAGGTTAGTACGGAGGGAGGGGATGTGTAAACCAGTGACGGTACCTGAGGGGAAGAGGGGACAGGGGAGGGTAGAGGTGTGGCGACAGGGAATAGAGAAGCTGGAATCGGCACCAAGGAGGGAGGTGGGGGCTGGGAGAGGGTGAAGGGTACCAGCATCACGAAGGACGGACTCGGTGGCTCCACTGTCAAGGACAAAGTCCAGCGTGGTGGAGGGGGGAGGATGTGGGGGAGGAGGTGGGACGGAGTACTGAATCACATTCTCATTAATAGCAGCCGAATACATGGAAGGGGCGGGGGTTCCAGCCTGACTAACCATGCCAACAAAACCAGAGGAGGGGAAGGGAGTCACACTGCTTGTGGCTGAGGGCGCGGGAGACGCGCCCGAGAGGTGAGCTGCGGAAGCGGCGGTGCCGGCGGTCCAAGCGGGGTAGGGCTGCTGGGGGGGAGCTATAGGAGGAGGTGCAAGGGGGAGCTGCGACTGGAGGTCAAGCTGTTGCTGGAGCTGGTGGAGCTGCTGCTGCAACTGGGAGAAGAGGTGATGCTACCCCTGCTGCTGCTGCTGCTGGAACTGCTGCTGCTGGAACTGCTGCTGCTGCTGCTGAAACGGCTGCGGCAGGACCTGCTGCGGTGTCTGCTGCTGCTGCTAATGCTGAGAGATGGCCTGGTGGGCCAAGGGGGAGGAGACGGGCTGAAAAAGAGGGGAGGTACGAACCTCCTGAGGAGTGGGGCGAGGGGAGAGGGAGGACCAGCGGGGGGGGGTGCCGGTGTTGCCGCGGGCAAACCACTCATCACTGAGCGCTTTGAAGCAAGAATCAGTGGCATGAGTGGTCTGGCCGCAGCGCTGACCCCGCGTGGGGCCATAGCGAGGGAGATACTGGCAAGGAGGAAAGGCGGCTGCTGCACCACGTCCTGCGCCATTGGTACCACGACCCGCGCCACCACCACGACCAGCGCCACGCCCTCCCCCACGCCCTCCCCTGGTGTTGCGCTGCTGAGCAACAGTGGCAGTGGAGGAGGAATGGTGCAGGAGGTCGGCCTCGGTGGTGATAATCCACTGGGCGACTTCAGCCGGGGTGATGCGCTTGTCGATCAGCTGCATGTAGGCGATCTTATGGGTGTCGAAGGCAGAAGTCAAGCCTTCAAGGAGGTGGCAGCAGAGCACAGGGTCCGGGTACGGTACGCCAAGAGCCGCCAGGCGCCGAGCGAGGTCGAGGACGCGACGCGTGAAGGCAGCTGCGCCGGTGGTAGAGTCCATGGTGAGGCTCTGGAACTCCTTGATGAGGGAGTAGAGGGTGGCGACGTCCTGCCGATCATAGAGATCGGTGAGGAGCCGCCAGAGGTGGGAGGAGGAGGTGGGAGCAAGCTCGCGCTTGAGGGTGGGAGGAATGGTGGCGAGGAGGATGGTGAGCGCGCGCCGGTCAGCGACACGCCAGGCAGCGAGGTCGGTGATGTATGCGCGCTCGCGACTGACGTACTCCGCGAGCGCCGCCTGATACGTGTTGTAGGCGGCAGTGGCGGCGTCATGCTCGGCGCGGGAAGCCTCGAAGAGCAGCTGCTGGCGGACGTGGTCGGTGAGGCCGGCACGGTAGGTGCGGATGGCGGTCTCGGAGCTCTGAGGGTCGTTGACGTCAGGGGCGAAGGTTGGAGGATCGCCGGGGCCGACGGGAGGATCGCCAGGAGGAGGAGGTGCAGGGCCCGCGGGTGCATCCGGCTGGGCGGGCTGAAGACCGCGCTCCTCGAGATGGACAACGGCTTTCAGGTTGTAGCCGTTGACCGTCACCGAGGAGAGAAGCACCGTGACGGTTTGGGCATAGGAATGCCAATTGACCGCGGTGTTGTCGGGCAGCAGCTCAAGAGCGTCGACGGAGGTAAAGTCCACGGAGGAATCGGACGCCATTGAGGAGGAGGGGAAGGAAGGGGGGGGGGGGGGGGAGGAGGAGGAAAAGGGAAAGGAGGAGGAAAAGGGAAAGGAGGAGGAAAAGAGAAAGGAGGAGGAAAAGGGAAAGGAGGAGGAGAAGGATAGGTGCGCGGAGCGCAGCTCTTAAGTCGCCGAAGGCGACCGGCTGCACGTCGAAATGGCGCGACGAACGGGAGCACGCGACGGCAGAATCGACGACGGGCGGGCGCACGCGGCGGAGAAATCGACCGACGACCGCGCGCGCGCGGCGGCAGAAAGGCGACGGGCGCGCTGAGAGGATTTGTCGACGGGCGTCCACGGGAGCCGTGACGCACGGGCACGCGGAGAGCGCGACGGACTGGTGTGCGCAAACGCGGAGGGCGCGCGACGGGAGGGCGCGACGACGGACCGCACGACGGAGGAGCGCACCAACGGGCGCAGTAGGAGGATGCGACGGCCGGAAGCGCGTCGTCAGGCGCGACGGGAGGCGCACGGCGGAAGGGAGAGCGGGCGCGGCAAAAAGGCGCGCGACGGGAGGAAGAGCGGGCACGACGGAATAGCGCGGCGAGAAAGGGCGCACGGGGGGCGCGGGAAGTAGCCTAAGGAAGGGCTAGACTTCGAAGACGAGGAGGGACAGCATAGGGCCGTGCTAGTTAGGATCGAATCGAGGTGGCGTGAGCCATTGTGGCTCTGAATACCATGAAGGAACTAGCTTGGAAGAGAAAAGATTGAATTGAGTAGGGAGCCAAGAGGCTCTTTTTGTACAAAACAAGGAGCAAGGAAGAGTTGGAAGGGAAGCTCTCCTATTGGCCATAAAGTGGACCAATGGGGGAGGTTGCTTGTAGGGCAAGCAACCACAAAAGTGTGGTGCTCTCCTATTGGTCACAATGTGGACCAATGAGAGAGATTGCTTGGAAGGCAAGCAACCACAAAGTGTGGTGCTTGGTGATTGGTTGGTTCCTAGGACCAAAGACCATTTGGTTGGAATAGTGCCAACCAAATGTCTAGGACCAAATCCAATCTTGACCAACCCAAATGTGGGGTTGGTCAACCCAACCAACAACCCCCCAATAATTATAATGACTACACCTCCTAATCTAGGCATGCATGTTGTAAAGATATATATTTTACAACACATGCAACACACCCCACATGCAACACACCCCACATGCAGCACACCCCACATGCAACACACCCCACATGCAACACACCCCACATGCACCACACCCCACATGCAACACACCCCACATGCAATACACCCCACATGCAGCACACCCCACATGCAGCACACCCCACATGCAACACACCCCACATGCAACACACCCCACATGCAACACACCCCACATGCAACACATCCCACATGCAACACACCCCACATGCAACACACCCCACATGCAACACACCCACATGCAACACACCCCACATGCAACACACCCCACATGCAACACACCCCACATGCAACACACCCCACATGCAACACATCCCACATGCAACACATCCCACATGCAACACATCCCACACGCTACACATCCCACATGCAACACATCCCACATGCAACACACCCCACATGCAACACACCCCACATGCAACACACCCCACATGCAACACATCCCACATGCAACACATCCCACATGCAACACACCCCACATGCAGCACACCCCACATGCAGCACACCCCACATGCAACACACCCCACATGCAACACACCCCACATGCAACACACCCCACATGCAACACACCCCACATGCAACACACCCCACATGCAACACATCCCACATGCAACACACCCCACATGCAACACACCCCACATGCAACACACCCCACATGCAACACACCCCACATGCAGCACACCCCACATGCAGCACACCCCACATGCAACACACCCCACATGCAACACACCCCGCATGCAACACACCCCGCATGCAACACACCCCACATGCAACACACCCCACATACAACACACGCCACATGCAACACACCCCACATGCAACACACCCCACATGCAACACATCCCACATGCAACACACCCCACATGCAACACACCCCACATGCAACACACCCCACATGCAACACACCCCACATGCAACACACCCCACATGCAACACACCCCACATGCAACACACCCCACATGCAACACACCCCGCATGCAACACACCCCGCATGCAACACATCCCGCATGCAACACATCCCGCATGCAACACACCCCACATGCAACACACCCCACATGCAACACACCCCACATGCAACACACCCCACATGCAGCACACCCCACATGCAACACACCCCACATGCAACACACCCCACATGCACCACACCCCACATGCAACACACCCCACATGCAACACACCCCACATGCAGCACACCCCACATGCAGCACACCCCACATGCAACACACCCCACATGCAACACACCCCACATGCAACACACCCCACATGCAACACATCCCACATGCAACACACCCCACATGCAACACACCCCACATGCAACACACCCCACATGCAACACACCCCACATGCAACACACCCCACATGCAACACACCCCACATGCAACACACCCCACATGCAACACATCCCACATGCAACACACCCCACATGCAACACACCCCACATGCAACACACCCCACATGCAACACACCCCACATGCAACACATCCCACATGCAACACACCCCACATGCAACACACCCCACATGCAACACACCCCGCATGCAACACACCCCGCATGCAACACATCCCACAAGCAACACACCCCACATGCAACACACCCCACATGCAACACACCCCACATGCAACACACCCCACATGCAGCACACCCCACATGCAACACACCCCACATGCAACACACCCCACATGCACCACACCCCACATGCAACACACCCCACATGCAACACACCCCACATGCAGCACACCCCACATGCAGCACACCCCACATGCAACACACCCCACATGCAACACACCCCACATGCAACACACCCCACATGCAACACATCCCACATGCAACACACCCCACATGCAACACACCCCACATGCAACACACCCCACATGCAACACACCCCACATGCAACACACCCTAAGCATGGGCAGTCGAGGCGAGTAAAAACTCGACTCGATCGCTCGACTCGTTTTTTCCGAGTAACGAGTCGGGCCCTCCTGGAAATTACTCGCCCCGAGTCGAGTCGAGTTAACTCGTCGAGTAAACGAGTACTCGACTGTTACTCGTCTCATTTGGGCGAGTAAAAATTACTCGCGAGCAATTTTTACTCGCGAGCAACAACTCCGCGTGTGCACTGATTTTGCTCACACATAGCGTGCATGCCAAGTCATCTTGGGCTGGCCTGACGATTCAGACCCCTAAATGAAGCTATGTGACCACAAACGCAATCTCAGACGCCAAACGTGGTTGCTTTTTTGTTCTTTCGGGTGCCCCTGAGAAATTGCGAAGAAATCAATCGCAACTGCGCGACGTGGCGAATCCGAAACGGAATGTCGCCAAGTCGCGAATGCCAACATTTTTGCCAGAAATCGACTTCCAACCGAATCCCTCCACTTCAACCGCACTGAACCTGTCTGCAACTACGAAATCCAACCCACCCCTCTAGCACGATCTACGTGAGGAGGGTGCACGCTATCCCTTCGTGCTAACCTAATTTCGCACGCAACTAAGCCGCCATATCGCCTCCTAGAACGTGCTCTGCAGCCACGCTTCCCTCCCCCCCCTTGCGTTTATCTAGCGTTTGCCAGACCAGAAATCAAGCGTTTAAACGGTCAATCAAATGCTCCCCTCCTAAAATGTGACTGTTCGGGGAGGGGGGGGCAAACAGCCCCGAGGCGAGTAATGCTTGCCTCAGGGCGAGTAAAAATTACTCGCCCCGAGTAAAACGTTTACTCGCCCCAAAAACGAGTAAACGAGTCGGGTTCTTGGCAAAAAAACTCGACTCGAGTAATGCTCGACTCGCCTCCCAAGAGGGTCGAGTCAGAATTACTCGGAGCAAGTAATGCTCGACTCGCCTATTGCCCATGCTTAACACACCCCACATGCAACACACCCCACATGCACCACACCCCACATGCAACACACCCCACATGCAACACACCCCACATGCAACACACCCCGCATGCAACACATCCCACAAGCAACACACCCCACATGCAACACACCCCACATGCAACACACCCCACATGCAACACACCCCACATGCAGCACACCCCACATGCAACACACCCCACATGCAACACACCCCACATGCACCACACCCCACATGCAACACACCCCACATGCAACACACCCCACATGCAGCACACCCCACATGCAGCACACCCCACATGCAACACACCCCACATGCAACACACCCCACATGCAACACACCCCACATGCAACACATCCCACATGCAACACACCCCACATGCAACACACCCCACATGCAAACACACCCCACATGCAACACACCCCACATGCAACACACCCCACATGCAACACACCCACATGCACCACACCCCACATGCAACACACCCCACATGCAACACACCCACATGCAACACACCCCACATGCAACCACCCCACAGCAACAACCCACATGCAACACATCCCACATGCAACACACCCCACATGCAACACATCCTACATGCTACACATCCCACGTGCAGCACATCCCACCTGCAACACAACCCACCTGCAACACACCCCACATGCAACACATCCCACATGCAACACACCCCACATGCCACACATCCCACATGCAACACACCCCACATGCAGCACACCCCACATGCAACACACCCCACATGCAACACACCCCACATGCAACACACCCCACATGCAACACACCCCACATGCAACACACCCCACATGCAACACATCCCACATGCAACACACCCCACATGCAACACACCCCACATGCAACACACCCCACATGCAACACACCCCACATGCAACACACCCCACATGCAACACACCCCACATGCAACACATCCCACATGCAACACATCCCACATGCAACACATCCCACACGCTACACACCCACATGCAACACATCCCACATGCAACACACCCCACATGCAACACACCCCACATGCAACACACCCCACATGCAACACATCCCACATGCAACACATCCCACATGCAACACACCCCACATGCAGCACACCCCACATGCAGCACACCCACATGCAACACACCCCACATGCAACACACCCCACATGCAACACACCCCACATGCAACACACCCCACATGCAACACACCCCACATGCAACACATCCCACATGCAACACACCCCACATGCAACACACCCCACATGCAACACACCCCACATGCAACACACCCCACATGCAGCACACCCCACATGCAGCACACCCCACATGCAACACACCCCACATGCAACACACCCCACATGCAACACACCCCACATGCAACACACCCCACATGCAACACACCCCACATGCAACACACCCCACATGCAACACACCCCACATGCAGCACACCCCACATGCAGCACACCACACCCCACATGCAACACACCCCACATGCAACACACCCCACATGCAACACACCCCACATGCAACACACCCCACATGCAACACATCCCACATGCAACACATCCCACATGCAACACATCCCACACGCTACACATCCCACATGCAACACATCCCACATGCAACACATCCCACATGCAACACACCCCACATGCAACACACCCCACATGCAACACACCCCACATGCAACACACCCCACATGCAACACATCCCACATGCAACACACCCCACATGCAACACACCCCACATGCAACACACCCACATGCAACACACCCCACATGCAGCACACCCCACATGCAGCACACCCCACATGCAACACACCCCACATGCAACACACCCCACATGCAACACACCCCACATGCAGCACACCCCACATGCAGCACACCCCACATGCAACACACCCCACATGCAACACACCCCACATGCAACACACCCCACATGCAACACACCCCACATGCAACACACCCCACATGCAACACATCCCACATGCAACACACCCCACATGCAACACACCCCACATGCAACACACCCACATGCAACACACCCACATGCAGCACACCCCACATGCAGCACACCCCACATGCAACACACCCCACATGCAACACACCCCACATGCAACACACCCCACATGCAACACACCCCACATGCAACACACCCCACATACAACACACGCCACATGCAACACACCCCACATGCAACACACCCCACATGCAACACACCCCACATGCAACACACCCCACATGCAACACACCACACATGCAACACACCCCACATACAACACACCCCACATGCAACACACCCCACATGCAACACATCCCACATGCAACACATCCCACAGGCTACACATCCCACATGCAACACATCCCACATGCAACACATCCCACATGCAACACACCCCACATGCAACACACCCCACATGCAACACACCCCACATGCAACACACCCCGCATGCAACACATCCCACAAGCAACACACCCCACATGCAACAAGCCCCACATGCAACACACCCCACATGCAACACACCCCACATGCAACACACCCCACATGCAACACACCCCACATGCAACACACCCCACATGCACACACACCCCACATGCAACACACCCCACATGCAACACACCCCACATGCAGCACACCCCAC